AACACGGACCCAGTACTATACCATGTTCCCGCCTTTAAAGCTGCTATGTGTAACACAGCCAAATCGTAAATTACGCGCCCATTGCCCGCTAGAATGAAAGCAGTTCCATGCGCGGTGTCGTGTATTTAACGGTGCCAGAAAGCGGAGTTGTAAAACTGACCTTTCACTCTAGTGTTTAGGGTTTATCAGAGCTATTGGATAAATCTGGCTAAGCTGGGAATTCTCAGATGAGCTGGGAAAAAAAACCCGTTTTTCTTCGGTTGAAAGACCTACACGTATAGCGGAGCTAACCGACACATGGAACGGACTCCACTAGTACAGATAAACCATAATAGTTTACGGAGAGCTTTTTGGAAGGGTACCAGGAACAGAGATACGCTTTTCGTTCACGAACTGATTAACTTTATTGAAATGGCCAACACCTTATACGCGAAAAAAGAGGAAGCATGCCAACAAAATCGATTTTCAGCTTAAGGGAGAAAAGTATGCTGATTTTGCCATGTTAAAAGTTATTTTAACTTTTTACTATTTTCTACCTTTCCCGATTCCACCGCTTCTTCGATTCCCTCCGCTCTATCCTCGTTAAACGCTCTTCATTCTCTGCTCGTTCCCATTGCTTTTCATAGATGTTATTGTTAGTGATCGGTAAGTCAGAAAAAGCAATTGAGTTCAATGAGCAAATGGTTCATATCTAATCTCATAAAAAGAGCCGTTTTTGCAATCTCTAGTTTCTAGCGCCTCAAAGGGTCTTTCACACTGGGATCTATCTGAGCTAACGGAGTCAGTTCTATGTGTCGATTAGTTCCGCTGTACGTGATTTTCAGCTAACTCAAATGACGAAAAACTGGTGTGCCGTGGAGCAGCATCTTCTGTGCCAGATTGCTCCGTTAGCTCATTAACCCAAATATGAATGGCCCTCACTGGAAATGGGCATGGTCTGCAACAGATTGCTCTGTTAGCTCAGATTAACCCAAATGTGAACGGCCCTTCCTAGAAATGGGGCTTAAATCTCGATAGAGAATAACTCGGTCTTGTTCGACTGTTGTCGCACGATTGTAAAATGGTATTCTCAAAAGCCCGTTTCGAATGAATCGTTAATGATTGCTAGTAGTGAAGAAGATAAAAGCTCCTCCTTCATATCTCTCACATTTTAACGTCAAATGATAGTACAACGACCCAAAAGAATGTTTCTTGAGAAATATACGTAATTTTAATTTTTCGATGCTTGTCAGTAATGTATCATTTCGGCGGTTATTTTTAAATACAACAGAAATTTTGAAAAGAAAAGATCGTCAGATAACATTTTAACAATTGGAGACATTATATCTTTCGTGGGGGGGAACAGATTTCAAGCCTGATAAATTAACACCAAAACTTAAAGAATCACCAAGGAAAAAGCTTTGGGAACAATATGCTGTTCACTTGAAATTCTGATGGTTGAAATACTATACCCCTGAATAAGGAAGGAAAAGGTTATATGACTTCATTGATACATTATATGTATTTCACGCTTTTTGCACTTACGTACAAACGTAAGTTTTAAAAATTTACTTACATTCAGAGCTTAAATTGAGCCGGAGCCCACCGGTACTTCTTAGTTTTTGGAATAAATCCTAATTCTGGCTGGAGCGCACCGGAGCCCTAAGTAAAAAGGCTCCATTACTTCTTTTATGTAATTGAACAAACTTTCGGTAGAAATTTGATCTCAAAAATTTTATTTTCAGTAATAAAATTATATCAAAAATCATTTGCTGAATTTTAATTTATCTCTTTACATTTTGTTAAATTATAATTATTTAATTACTTTATCAGGTTCAGAGTTCCTCCTTACTTGCTTGGGGAACATTAAATGACCTGACTCGGAACAGGGAGCTTACTAAAGCTATGTTCAATAAATGTGGGGAAGTAGACAAGATACACAGGAAGGGTATACGAAACCCTTTATTTTTCTCTCTTTACAATGATTTCCGGACTTCGGAATACAGAGACCAACCACTTGTGGTCTGAACGTAAGAATATAAAAATATTAACTAAATTCTAACTAAACTAACTTTGGATTACTAAACAAGTATCTACTTGAAGATTGGCCGTATATTAACAGAAAGGCCGTATGTAGTACAGAGAACTGTTAACACTACGATACGTTTAAAATTATCAAGAGGATTAAACTTCTGGCCTTGAAGGCAACCAGCAACCGATTAAAACTGCAATGGCAAGCGGCCCGCTCCTAATCACTCCTTCCTCTCTCTTGCTTGGCAAAAAGCCACAACTTAAGTACTTGGCGTTCGCAAGACAAATTTGCATAAATTAAGTTAAAGCTTTTCTGGCCGGAAGTAGAAAATGAGAAGTGATAGTAAAGATTTGAAATAAAATAAACGTTAGTAAAACTTAAGATTCTTACAACTTTAATAACTGATTATTTAATGATTGTAATAATTAATTGTTCAGTTTTTAATTATTTAATCATCGACTATTTAACAGTTTTAATAATTAATTATTAATGATTTGATTAGCCATCTTATTTATTTTGTTCTCCTTTCCTGACGGTCTTCATACGGCTCCGGCACTTCTAATTTTAGAAATTAAGCCCTGCTTACATTAGAAATATTCACAAAAAGAATTGAGTTTCCCTAATTTTTTGGGACATCACTGCACGGGAAAAAATTTGACCATGAAAAAATGACATTATTCGCTGACAAAATTTATACAGATCCTTTTACCATTATTAAGATTGCTTGCTCGTACTTTTCATCCTGATTTTCCTTAAGTTCTTTTTGCAGTCACAAATTTTCTAATTTAAGAAGTACAAAAAATTTGTTTTTATGAGTGAATTTTGTATTTTTTTTAAAAGAATTTTTGGACTATTCAAGTCGAAATTTCTCAAATTCCCTTAAAATTTCAATACCTATTGATTTAGTCAGCAATTTGTGTAAAAATATTACAGTTACGAAAAATAAAAGATTTAAAACAATATATATCTTAATGAATTATGTTGTATGGCAGAAAAGAATGAAGCAATCGCAATTAATGATTTTATAACACTCATGTCCATAAATTAAGGATAATGCAAAATCAGGCAAAGGAAAAGTTAGAAGCAAAACAAATTTGACTTATTTGTAAAGCTTATTTATTAAACAAAAGGTAAAGAGCAAAAAGATGCTATATGTTTGATATTATTAAAAAATTAGCGATTTTTTTTCCCTGGAGCAAAAAAAAAAAAAACTTACAAAAAAAAAACCAATATTACATGGTTGGTATTGATTGTTAATACATTGTATGTCTCCCAGACGATGCAATACAGTCCGTACAACGCCTAGGCATGCTGAGTATCAAATTATCGATCTGATCTTGGGGGATATTACATCACTCAAAAAGCAATGCTCTCCGAAGTTCCGGTAGACATGTAGGAGGAGGTTGACGGGCTGCAACTCGTCGGCCAAGCATGTCCCACACGTGTTCTACTGTACTGGATTCAAGTCCAGGTGAGAATGCTGGCCAGTCCATACGGGTGATATCCTCCGATTGAAGGCATTCGCTTACGATGTTTGCACGGTGAGGACGGGCGTTGTCATCCATAAACACAAATTGTGCGCCCATGGCGCCCCGAAACAAACGTACATGTTGTTCCAGAATGACGTCCCGATAGATTTGGCTTGTCATGGTTCCAATTTGAACATGCAGGTCAGTTCTGGAACCCAGAATAATTCCACCCCAAACGAGCACTCCTGCACCACCGTAACGGTGTCGTTCAATGATGTTTTCTTGGTGGTAACGAATACCTGGAGCTCTCCATATGAAAGTCCGGCGAGAATCAGACTGCAAGCTAAACCTGGACTCGTCGGAAAACATCACACAAGCCCACTGTTGCGGTGTCCACAATGCATGCTCTCTACTCCAGGCTAACCGCAGGCGACAGTGAGTTGCAGTAAGTGGAACGCATCTGACAGGTCTACGAGCATATAGACCAATCTGCCCTAAGCGTCTGTACACGGTCTGCCTTGAAATTGTCGTACCAGTGGCTGAAGAGAGAGCTGACGAGACAGGTCTAAGGCTGTGCTCCGCCTGTTTTTTTTTTTTTTGGCAGTAACTGCCAAATACCGGTCCTCATTCGGCGTTGTAACTCTGGGGCGACCTGTGCTGTAACGTCTACTCACATTACCATCATCTTGGAATCGTTGCCAAAGCCTGGAGATGACACTCTGGGCAATTCCAAGTTCGTCTGATACTTCCAGTTGGGTACGCCCACATTCCAGACGGCCGATAATTCTACCACGTAAAAAATCATCCAAATGCGTTTTTTGTGTCATAACTATTCGGTTATTGCACTGAAATGCTTGCGAACGCCTGCGAAGAATTTTACTTCTTTGCCTGTATTCCTTATATATCATTCTCTTACACTCTCGTCATTGTGACGTACCATCGGTGTCATCTGGTTACTTCCTGAAATTTGCATATGGTTCTTGAAGATGTGTGTAGTGATTTTACGGGTGATATATTTATTTTAGAGTTCGATTTCCGCGTGACTCCGAATTATCCTTATGGACATGAGTGTAGTATCATATTACATATATAGTACTCACATATTCATGTATAGTTTGAGTGATTTGGTTGCTTTAAAAATTCATACATGTGACTCAGCCTTGAAAACTCTCTTGCATATGACGTGCTTTATTCCCTGTATATTCTAAATCAATCAACATGCTTTCAAGAAATTAATTAATTTGGATGTTTGAATCAGAACAGGAATTTTCAAATAATATGCTTCAGGAATTTACAGCAGCAAAAAGAAGAAGTGAAAAGAGAAATATTCAGAATTTAAAAAGCAATATAAAATTAAAACAACAAGCTCTCTCTCTCTTTTTGGGCTGGGGGGCGGTGTGAAATCTGTAAGAGAGAATGGAAATAAACATCCTTCAATAAAAGTGTTAAGATAAATCTTTGAGGATATATTAGTAAAACATGATATTAGTTTTCAGAATGAAGAAAAGAAACAATTTAAATATTGAGATAGCTTTTATTTTCTTAAATTATACATGTATTTGTTAATTCTTATGAGAAATTACTAATACTTTGCATTTTACCCCATGTAATTATAATTGTCATTTTAATCTAACTCACAGTGCTGAAATGAGCAAAAATGTAATATTCACAACAAAACAACAACCTTTAACAAAGAAAGCAAGGACACAGGTAAGATCCACCACGATTAGAAAGCTTTGTCGATTGTCAGTTTTAAATATTGCTGAGTAGGTCGACAAAGTTGTTCCTAATTGCGGCTTTTTTGACGCAGTAATTTATCAAAAATTGCAATAAAGAATGATTTAATTATTTTACTCTATAAGAAAGTTAATTTAAATATTTAATAAAGAATTATTAGCAACTGAATCTATCTTGATATTTTCATTATAGCTAAAAAAATTGTTAACTTTTTATAAAAGTATAAACTTCGTCTAAAATGCTCACCCAGGGGGATTCCAGATGATTTTCATCTGTGTGGTTTTCCACATAATATTTACGTACATTCTCCGACACTAATATTAAAAGTTCCATCAAAATTACGAATAAGAAAGGAAAATTTGTTTAAGTATAACCTTTTGAGAAAGTAATATCATTCTTCTTGTCTTAAACTACATGGTATTTCCTTGAACATTTTGTTTTTACTTGAAATGTGACTTAATATTATACCACATGAGCGTAACTTTAATATAATTAATCACCTAATTGTTCTGCCTTAACTTTCAGCACAGATAGGAATAACCACATAATACATAATTTCTACATTTCCTATAATGTGTAACAAAATGCATTGTATTTATATGCATGAAATTAAAGCTGTGAATAAGTTGTTGCAACTTATCTTATTTGTTCCACAGTAACATCAGAACAAGCCCACAAAATTCATCATGGCAAGAAGTGCAAGATTATGTCTGTCATTGGCAACAGCCTTGAGCAACATGCAGGTGACAGTACAACTTTGTTTAGTTCCGCCCTCAAGTTTGATGGAGAGCATCCTGCGGGAATGGGTCTGATAGTGTCCCACCTCTTTTTCCCTGCCACCAACCTCTCGAGAGGACTTTTGGCTTGCCACACAAAAACTAAACATTTACAATCATTCATGCCTTCTCTGGAATTCGAACCTGGTTCCTTCAGTATGGCAGTCAGTGTCGCTAACCACTATCCCACTTGGGTGGCTGCTGTGAATAAATTATCAGTACATTACAATTTGTTATATAGTATAATCAAAGAAAAATTAAATAAAATCATGCACAAATTATTTTCATTTGTTTACAAAGGCTGACAAAATTTTTATACTTCATTACATACATTATTACTTACATACTGCATTTTCCACAGCTTTACACAATTATACTACAAGTATTCAATTAAATCCCATGCTTAAAGGTTTTAGGATGTTTTTGTTCTTGGTACATATAGATTAAGTCTTAAGTTTCTCTTTTTGATTATAAGATATTTCTCCCATCGTGCTGTCTCTTTGTATTAGTAATACAGATGTACCTTTCAGCAGATTTATTTTTAGTTTGCTAAGTCAGGTCTTAAAATTTATACTATTTGTTAAAAATTAATTAAGCTTGTATACCTGAAAATCTTGGACATATTTATCTTTCAAATAATGATAATATATTAGCATCAAGGATTCAGAACGGGACTTAGATACGATACCTTTACTTTTTGACAATTTTTAGGTATCAGCTTATGTAATAACATTTAAAATGTTTTATAATTATTTAAAAATTAAGTTTAGGATGTCATATGTTCTGATACTTATTACAGAATAATAATTTGCTCGACAGCTTAATACCTTTAATATTTTTAGTCTTCATGCAGAATTTACCAAGCCAAATAAAAGTGCTCATGCTATTTAAATATTGCATAATGAACACATTTTAGTGCCTTACTTCAAGAGAAATTATTTCTATTTCAAATTAAAACTATTTTAATTTTCTTTGTGGGTAGAGTAGACTTTAAGGTACCCCTTGTATTATGGCGAAGTTGTTTTTTGATTTATCGCCAAGTTGTTCTTTCATTTATGTTAGCCTGAGTAGTTGAATGCTATGGAAACCCTATTATGACGTAATCGGGTGCATGATTCTGGGAAATTTTGAATCATGGAATGTTTTGTAAGCACTTTTGTGGTGTGTGTTGGTTTGATTTTTTAGACGGTAGAATGACCGAATGTAGTAAGATTAATTTGAAGTTTCTGTAGAATTTGGAGCGAAAGGGAAAAAGAGTTTTAATTGACTGGTGTGTAAATGAAGGTTTACTTAGTAGCCATTATAAGTGTCCTGTATGTAGGAAGGATATGCTTCTAGTCGAACGTAAAAACCGTTTAGATGGATTTCAGTGGGTTTGTAGGAAGAAAGGTTCCGATGGTCACTATGTGAAGCATTCGATCAGAAAGAGTACCTGGTTTGAAAAAAGTCATTTGAATATGATTGATATTTTGATTTTTACATGGCTCTGGGTATACGAAGCGAACTCGAAAATCATGGTAAGTGAATACAGTCAAAAGTCTTTAATCCGGATGTCCATAATCCAGAATGATCTATAATCCGGACCTCAAAGCTACAAACTTTCTGCGCATGCCTCAACACATGCACATAATGCCTTTACGCATGCGCGTTTAATGTACAACGGACGGTATAAGCTAAGCTAAAATTATCTAATTATCTATTTCAGTTAATGTTGCAGATTTCGTTGTTCGAATCTTCGAATTGGATCCGGCTTATTATTTTTTGCAGACTGTTACAGTAATTTTATAAAAAGTAAGCTTGATCTTTCGATTATGTCCAAATGAGTTTCCAATTCTGGAGTTGCCAAAGGATCTACAAAGCGAAAGCATGTTTCGATCTCCATTAAGCAAAAAGTGGAATTGCTGCAGAAAATGGATAAAGGTATGAAGAAAGTGACTGAGTGGTGATTGTTTCTCTAACCATTCCGAAATTTGTTTATCAATTTCACGCTGCTCTGCGGGGGGGTGGGGGGATGTCGCGGCGTGCAATGAACTGGAAGGTGATCTGTCAGCAGTATCCTCATCTTCAGGGCAGATGTTTTTATTTATTCGGCTTATAATTCCTCACTAAATGTAGTGTTTCATCTCGATGTACTAAGATTTACAGTCAAAAGTCGTTAATCCGGACCCCCATGATCCGGAATGACCTATAATGCGGACCTCTAAGCTACAAACTTTCTGCGCATGCGTCGCCTCACCTGCCAATGCGTGCGCGTAAGATTTTTCGGCTGCAATACGCGTATGCGCTTTGTTTAAGCATGCGCGTTAATGATAACGATGGTATAGTAAGCTAAAATTATCTAATTCAGTTAATGTTGCGATTGCGTGTTCCTTAATCTTCGATTGGTCGGGGTTATTATTTTTTGCAGACTGTTGAGCAATTTTATAAAAGTAAGCTTGAACTTTCGATTATTTAATAGAATTTCCGATATATATTTACTAATTGTACAGGATCTCAAAGCGAAAGTGTTTTCGAATTCCATAAACAGAAAGTGGAATTCCTGCAAAAATGGATAAAGTCATCCTTTGATTATCTATAAAATTGTTTATCAATCACGCTGCTTAGGGAAGCGGGCGGCGCGCAATAACTGGAAGTTGATCTGTCAGCACTGTCCTTATCCTCAGGCAGAGTTTTATTTTATTCGTCTTATAATTCCTTACAAATGTAGTATTTCATCTCGATGATCCGTATTTGATAGATTTTTAAATTCCTTGTCATTAGAATTCGCTCCGATAGTGAAGAAAGTGACAAAGGTTACTGAAAACGAAAAAATTCAATTGACAAATTTGGTGGGTATTTCGAACCGCAATTATAGGAATTGAACGGAACTTTGTAACTGAACAAGAAATATGTCTGTTTAATAGAATTAAAGAGAAAGTATTATCACATGAAGAAGCAAATTAAACAACTTAAATTGAAAGAAATGTTTATAAAGTAAACAAACTAAATTAAGCTTTTTCTTTTGTAAAGTTGATACTCTTAGATCTAATTGTCTTTATTTCTAAATTACGGTTTATATTTTATTTATATTTGGCAGCCCTCTTCCGATTTAAAGTGATGATCTCCAAAAAGTGATAATCTGGAATCGCTGACGTCCCCACGAGTCGGATAACGACTTTTGACTGTAATTAAATCAATTTCTCATTATAATATCAGAATACACATCAAAAGTTTCTGGTTGCAATTTTCTCTTTCGCCTATGCGTAAGTATGCTTTTAGCATGCGCGCGTTAAAGGAATGGGTAATAAGTAAACAATAAATATTAAGCTTTTTTTTTTTTGTAAATTTGATCCCTTTAGATCTAATTGCTCTTTTCTAAATTCGGTTTATATTTAATTTTATATTTTCTGCAGCACTTACCAAATTTAAACTGATGACCTACAACCGAATCGTCGAAGTCCCGACGAGTCCGATTAAGACTTTTGCGTATTTGCTTTTGGTATGCTTAAATAGACATGTTTTTCTTTTTATGTTATTTTATTGTTTGGTTTAAAATGTATTTTATTGAAATAGGTATTTTGTTTGCTATATTGACATTTGGTACTCCTTTGACTTTTTAAGTGAAAATATATCAATGTGTATATAGACAAAGTAAAGGGTGCACGCAATGCCATTTTTGTGCAATTCGAGGATTTTTTTTAAGTGAAAATAGGTCGACGTGTACATGGATAAAGTCAAAGGAGGGCACAATGCCATTTTTATGCAATTCGGAGATTTTTTTTTAAATGAAAATAAGTCGATGTATACATGGATACTGAGTTTGTGCAATTGTTTGTCTTCTTACTTTGGCTTTGTGTAGTGGCGATTTTTGGCGCAAAAATCACCGCTTCACAAGCCAAAATAATGAGTCAAAGAATTGAACAAAATCAGTATCAATGTACCGCCAAAAACCGCCAAATGTCGCCAAGGGGTACCCTAAACTATACTTTTACCCTCTTTGTTATGTTTAATGGGTGAATGAATTAATTCACACTGGTGAAATGCAGATACCAAAATGTTTGAGAACCACATTTCTTGAATGAAATGCAGTTCTCAAACATTTTCACAGAAGAAAATTGTTAGTTTTATTAGTTCTCAGACCGATTTCTTTTTCAAGTTCCAAATTTTATATTTCTCATGCATCATGCAGAGATTTAAAATAATGTAGCAAAACTATTTGCTTTGTTACTACAAAGGTGACAATGTGTTTGTTGCTAAGATCTACTTTTAACCTAAAACTATATTTACAAACTGCATGTCATATAAAATTTAATGCACTCAGTCTTCCTTGCTAGTCAGCGATGGGAAAGTAGAAATTAAGAGATGAAGTTATAAACAGCATTAAAATGGACTTCAAACAGCTCCATGACCTTTCCATTTGCACTGTCCTGTGCCACTAAAAATCTGCCTTTCAAGTGATGTCCTATGATTTGTTTTTCTAAATGAGCAAGAATTCTGGAACTCAGGACTTTCGGCCCATATTTGGAATTATTTCAATGTGATAAAAGAAAAGATGTGCTATGCTATAATGCCTGAATGACAGTATACATAACAGTATCTGCATATTAGCATTAGATAGTATTCCTTAAAATATTATGTGCTTATGCTACTATGACATGATGTATGTACTGATCTGCAAATCACAGTCAACTAATTTACTTTATCTGTCTGTCTGTTGGCATTACCTGCAGTGGCATCATATTATGTTGTTGAAATTTTCTCATAACTTGTTGGCTATAGCATATTCTATTTCTTATATTACGCTGAAATACTTAAGGGCAAAAAATTTCAAAAACACAGTTTAAAAACAAATAACTGCTAGAATTCTTAGTTGCGAGAACAGTACACATACAGAAATAGCAAGACAATAAACTGATGAGGTGTAAAAACAAACACAAATTACGAAAACTGTGCTAAAAACATTAAAATAAATAAATGATTTTTAAATATTAGCCTGTGCCTTACTCTTACAACTGATTAATCTCACATTCTTTTAACTGATAACTGAAACTACTCAATAATGTATACCTTTCTGCGTGTGATAAAAAATTTCAAAAGATTTTTCCCCCTTATATCATAATATTACCTTAATATTTAAATTGAAAAGGCTGCAATTTTTATTTTAAAAAATAGTTTTTGCCACTGAAGGACCTTGACTATTTTTTATATTATATTTATAAATA